CTCCAGTTTAAAAAGTATAACATTTGGATCTTTTCGCTTTTTATTAAATATATATATTTAAAGTCCTGAAACATTTGTTTGGTCACATTCCCTTCTCTCGTCCCCCTCAGATCAGCAGTTGTGAAGATACAGAGTCCATGAGAGGAAACATTTCATCCCGGTGGAGTCTCGGCGAGGAAAGTCGGCTTAAGTTTGGTGACATTAATTCACATTTACAAATGAGTCATGACAGCCACCCGGGGCGCAAATTTCCTTCTCCGGCCGTCCAGAGGCTCGCGCGGGTCATAGCCCGCTGCCAGAACAGCTTATCGCTCAAATGATCCGGAGTGCCGTATATTTATCACCACAATGCAGGTTGTTACCTCCAAGACCTGATGACTTAACCACAACGTGACCAGAGAGGGACTACAAGACCCCACCAGATGTATTCTGAGGAGGTTTGGAGGATAGATCGAGAGAGAGAGAGAGAGAGAGAGAAAGAGAGAGCGAGAGAAAGAGAGAGAGCGAGAGAAAGAGAGAGGGAGAGAGAGAGAAAGAGAGAGCGAGAGAAAGAGAGAGAGCGAGAGAAAGAGAGAGGGAGAGAGAGAAAGAGCGAGAAAAGGAGAGAGAAGGAGAGAGAGAGAAGGAGAGATAGAAGGAGAGAGAAAGAGAGCAAGAGAGAGAAGGAGATAGAGAAAGAGAAAAAGAGAGAGAGCGAGAAAGAGAGAGAGAGAGAAGGAGAGAGAGAGAGAAGGAGAGAGCGAGAAGGAGAGAGCAAGAAAAGGAGAGAGAGAAGGGGGGAAAGAGAGAGATAGGAGAGAGAGAGAGAGAGAGAAAGCGAGAAAGAGAGAGCGAGCGAGAGAGAGGAAAAAGAAAGAAAGAAAGAGAATGACTGACCTCTCCTTACAATACCAGCTCCCTGGTGGTCATCATCACCCTGAGGTTTCAGTTCTTGGAGTCACATGACCAGAACAATCACTCACATCTGGAGCAGACTCCTCTCTGACCTCACGTGTTCCATGCTTGCTCGGGGTCAGGCTCCATATTTCTCCCATTATGAGAAGTCTCACTACACTCGCACTGAATGATATGATTGAAGTTCACCTCCAGGAGACATTCACACATTGTTTCCATAGAGTACTTCCTTTGAAAAAAGGTTTCAAGAAAATCGATTTACAGGAAGTGAGAGGAGACACAACAGAAACTTCTAGCTGGGTCCGGGATCACAATGAAAGGGGGTAAAAGAGGTAAAAGTGATTATTTTTTGGATGGGTTTCATCCATTTTTCACCCATGACATTTAGATATCAAACCATCCTGAGCTTTCTCAGAAGAAACATCAACACTGTCTACATGCTTTCTATCAGCCTGTGTATAACCTTGCCGCTCTCCCTCACCTTCCTGCTCTCCCTCACCTTCCTGCTCTCCCTCACCTTCCCGCTCTCCACGCTCTCCTGCACCTCCACGCTCTCCTGCACCTCCACGCTCTCCTGCACCTCCACACTCTCCTGCACCTTCCCGCTCTCCTCCATCTTCCTGCTCTCCTCCACCTTCCCATTTTCTCCACTTTTTCGTTCTCCTCCACCTTCCCGCTCTCCCTCACCTTCCTGCTCTCCTCCATCTTCCTGCTCTCCTGCACCTCCACGCTCTCCTGCACCTTCCCGCTTTCCTCCACCTTCCTGCTCTCCTCCACCTTCCCATTTTCTCCACTTTTTCGTTCTCCTCCACCTTCCCGCTCTCCCCCCTTCCCGTTCTCCCTCACGTTCCAGCTCTCCTGCACCTCCACGCTCTCCTGCACCTTACCGCTCTCCTGCACCTTACCTCTCTCCTGCACCTTTCCGATCTCCTCCATCCTTCCGCTCTCCTCCATCTTCCTGCTCTCCTGCACCTTCCTGCTCTCCTCCACCTTCACATTTTCTCCACTTTTTCGTTCTCCTCCCCGCTCTCCTCCATCTTCCCGCTCTCCTGCACCTTTCTGCTCTCCTCCACCTTTCTGCTCTCCTCCACCTTCCCGCTCTCCTCCACCTTCCCACTCTCCTCCTCCACCTTCCCACTCTCCTCCTCCCCCACCTTCCCGCTCTCCTCCTCCGCCACCTTCCCGCTCTCGTCCTCCCGCACCTTCCCACTCTCCTCCTCCCCCAACTTCCCACTCCTCCTCCACCTTCCCACAAAATAAAACTTCTAAAGCTGACAGATCTTCTAAATAAATAAATACAGCAGACGTCTGAACCAGTGACTCAGAGAGGACAAACTCGGCCTTATTATTCACCTCCCTAAAATAAGATTTTGGTGGCCGGTTGCAGCTTTAGTCACATGTAGTTTGTGGTTAGACATAAAAGCCTCGAATGACAAATCTCCATTCTGGATCTCCCTGACGTCTGCCGGGCCAAGATTGTGTTTCTTTAGGCAGAATATTCAATTTGAGGCTTTTGCAGCTCAGTCCCCAATAAGATGATGACAGATAAGGGGGTGTCATAGGACGAGACACATAGGGAGCAGAGAAATAACACAAAGTAGGATGGATTGCACTTACGGAAACTGGAAGGGCAGCAAGAGAAGTTAACAAGCGTGCTAGTGATCATTGAGACCAATACAGCAGTTACTGGAGAAGACATGACCACCGGAAGATCATCCATATTAATAAAAGCAGAAGGGCCCGGGGCCCCACCACACTAGTTATTGTTGTGGTAATGTTATTAGGATGTGTTTTTAGTATATTGTATATGTGAATATTGTCGTCATGTCTCTCAGTGTCAGTTTTGCTGGGCTACGCTCTATGGAGCGTGGCCGGGATTAATCAGCACCGCGGATAAACCAATGGAGTGGATATCTTCCTATGGATGTGGAGACGCGGCCGCTGTGCGCAGGGGTCTCCGCCGGCGAATGTGCTATGCGCTGGCCAGTTGGCCGGGGGAGATTGATGTGCATTGCGGAGCGGTGTCCTCTTCGCAAGTGTATGGACGCCGGTGAGGGGCCCCTGCGTAATGCGCAGATTTATTCGCTTGGCGTGGGTGCATTTGCTTTAGGGACGCAGTATCATTTTGGATGCATATCTGCCTTTATGAAAGGAAGAAAGAGAGAAAGAAAGAGAGAAGAGAGAGAGAGAAAGAAAGAGGGGGGAGAGAGAGAGGGGGAGAGAGAGAGAGGGGGAGAGAGGAAGAAAAAAGGGCGAGAGAGAGAGAGAGAGAGAGAGAGAGAGAGAAAGAGAGGGAGGAAGAAAAAAGGGCGAGGGAGAGAGAGAGAAAGGAAGAAAGAGGGGAAGAGAGAGAGAGGGGGAGAGAGAGAGGGTGGGTGAGAGAGAGAGGGTGGGTGAGAAAGAAAGAAAGAAAGAAAGAAAGAAAGAAAGAAAGAAAGAAAGAAAGAAAGAAAGAAAGAAAGAGAAAGAAAGAAAGGAAAGAAAGTAGAATGACTGACCTCTCCTTACAATACCAGCTCCCTGGTGGTCATCATCACCCTGAGGTTTCAGTTCTTGGAGTCACATGACCAGAACAATCACTCACATCTGGAGCAGACTCCTCTCTGACCTCACGTGTTCCATGCTTGCTCGGGGTCAGGCTCCATATCTGTATCAGGATGCATATCTGCCGTGTCTTTTTTGGTGCGTCTGATCAACGCGCTAGAAATAATATGGCGTCGTCCCTGCAGATAAACTCACATTCATGGGAATCGTAGTATAATCCTAATGGGTATTGCTCACTGAGCAATGCTGAATAGAATTCGCGCCAGTGGTAACGGCGACAGTATGTGTGCGAGTCTGGTCAGAGCGGCGCCCATAGTCAAACACGTTGATTCCTTTGTGTAGTGTTTTGGTGGGAACTCTGTTCCACATGGTTTAACTAGTGTGCACGGAGTTCACATGCACTAGCAGCTGCGGGCTGTGCACGTTGCTGCTGCACATGCACGAGCATATACTCCCCTTTCTAGTGTCTATTCAACTGTATACATGTGTCTCATTGGCTAACTCTGTGTTATGTTACTGTATTGAGGAATCGATTGGCTGCTGGGGCCAGCCCTTCCTTCCTGTTATCCCTGTGTGTGCTATAAATAAACGGGTCTCACTCCACTAGGGAGGACTTTTACAGAGAGCATCCAACGTGACAACAGCGAGCGTCTGTTTCCTTGGTACAGCCGAGCGCGCTCAATAATATTATACTAAAAGAGCTGAGGACTGTGCTTTTTAGCGCAGCGGATTTCTATGCTCAGGAGCGTATATTCATTTCCAGAACATTCTATAGTTACATAGCTAATCAGGTTAAAACAGACACATGTCCATTGAGGTCAACCAAAAATAAATAACAAAAGCTTTGCATCCTCCCAACCCTAAATCCACAGAAAGTGCCCCAAAAAATATCCAGAAAGAGGAACTGAACTTTGAAAACCATGCTAAAAAAGGCCGGCAGAGGCAAAAAGGACCAGTCATCAGTATTGCCTGCGGTCTCCCTACAGTTGATCTTCCCCCAATACTGACTTACCATGACTTGTTCTGCACTGTGACATTACGCGGAGGTGGCCATCTTGGAAGAGGCAGGTCCGTGCTTGCTCATTTCAGAGGCTCCAGCAAGGAGAACAGTGAGTAGCGCCACCAAATCTCACTCCAAATCTGGTGAGACTAGGAGTCAGAGGCTGCAGTGTCTTAGATCCATGGTTCTCAACTGGTGGGTTGCAACAGCCCGTTCATTGGGTCGCCACGTGCCTTCCACTATGTTAGGCGAGAGGCTCCTCAGCCTCCCCCTAGCGCAGCACCGTCAGTTCTCGCGCCGAACAGCCATTCAAAACATGCTGCCCGGTGCCGAGTGTCAGCTTGAGTTAGGCTGGGCTGGGGGTATGGCCGCGAGGGAGCTCCATCCATACGTGCATTGCTTGCAGTTCCCTTGCGTGCCCTGTAGAGTTGCCTGGTATGGAGTGGCATCGAATTCCGGCTCCCGGCACCTCTACAGGGTGCGCAAGGGAGCTATACAAGCCATGCATATATGGATGGAGCTCCGTCACAGCACAGCAGCCCACACTGGACCACAGCCTGAGGATCCGCTCTACTTCTCCTAAGGTAGGGAGACCGGGTGTATCTTAAAACGCAAACGCACCAACCACGTGTTCTGGTGCATTGAGTTGCCATTCATTGCCATTTGAATGGCGCCCTAAATGCACCTCCCACCCACAGTTCGATCGCCCGCACCGGAACACGCAATACTACAATGCCGTGCATTCCAGTGCGGTGTGACCTAATGACCAAGGACAAATGCGAGTCCTAAGGTTACACAGGTTGAGAACCAATGTCTTAGATGATCACACACTGCAGATATACAGCTATGAGGCTGTAGGTATAGGAGTGCCTGGGCACACAGAGTGCACTGCTATTTTTCAGGAAGAATTCAAGGTGGCACGGGGCAGAGGGGCAGCATAGGTTTGAAGTCTCCCGACGCCCAGAACATGGAGTTCCGGGCGCCGGCGGTAATTTGTTTTCTACATTTAGCCCGGCTTTGCACCAGGCGGGCTAAATGTAGAATGGGGGAAGCCACTTGTTTGTTTCCAAGTGATCTTGGCGATGTCACCAAGATCACTTGTAATTAGACTGCAGCCTGTCCGTCTTCCCCTCAACTAACAGGAGTTCAAGCACAGCGCTGTGCTGGAACTCCTGTATTGGAGGTGACAGGGTCAATAAAGAGAACCTGTCACCTCCAAATGCTATCGCACAGGGGGCTTGTTAGCTAATAAAGATAAAATGAACGAATAATAAAAATAAAAACAATAAGTAAAAAATGATAAGTAATAATAATTAAATTAAAAAATAAAGTAAAAAATAAATAAAAAGTAAAAAATAAGAAAAAATTATAAAAAAAAAGTAAAAAGTAAAAGATAAGATAAATACAAATTTAAAAAGTAAAAATAAATATAAAAGTGATAAAAAGTAAAAAACAAAAGAAACAATAAAAAAATTCAAACCAACCCTGACACCCCCACTATCTGGTTGGCATTCTCCATGGGGGTGGGGCGCATTGCAGAACCTGGCCTTGGGGCGGCAGGGAGAGTAAATCCGGTCCTGTTCACTCCCCATGTGCTTTGGTTTCTGACTCAGCAGTCATGTACGGTCCAACGGATCCAAACATGACCTAAATGTACTGTAACAGGCAAACGGTTCCTTCCTGGTTCCAAAAGGCAACTGAATACTCCCAAAATGAACGCTCTCCAATGCCGTTTAGTATCCTTAGTCATTTTGCTTTGTGCATTTAGAAATACATTCAACCTTGGTTTTCGCAGGTACCCCAGGAACGTCATTCTATAAAGCTTTTAAACACATTTGTCAAGGTTGCAAGAAAATTAAATTAAATTAAACTCTTTCTTGACCGCAAGTTTATTGTGAGGATGCATCGCCTTGTACAGATACACACTTTGTGACGCATTCCGCACAAAGTGCATAATCCTTACAATTAAGAACTTGGTGTGAAACGCGTCAAGGTTTCTTCTTTGAAGGCTGTGCGCCTGTACAAGTCGATGCATCTTCAAAATGAACTCATGGCCAAGCAACGCAAAACAAGAGAATGACGTGGCGCCATTTTGATTGAAATTTGCTGTACATACCAGGGCCAGGCGAAATCTGAAAGCCGTGATCCCAAAAGGGTTTCTAGAGCCAGCTCTCTTGCGGCAGCAAAGTCTGTGTTCAGGGCCGGATTTGCTCTCCCTGCCACCCCAAGGCCAGGTTCCGCAATGCGCCCCCTCCCCGGCAAAGTTCTAATTTTTGTTATGGATTCTTTATTTTTTCTTACTTTTTTATCACTTTTTTATTTTTAATTATTTTTACAATTTTTAGCTTGTTTTATTTTATTTTTTTTAATTTTCTATCTTATTGTTGATTTA